TATCCAAAGAAGACATACAGATGGCCAATAGACGTACGAAATGATTTTCAACATCACTAATCATCAGAGAAATGCAAATTAAAACCACAATGAGATATCACCTCACTCCTGTCAGAATGGCTATCATCAATAAATCAACAAACAACAAGTGTTTGGCAAGGATGCTGGGGGGAAGGGAACCCTCATACACTGTTAGTGGGATTGTAAATTGATGCGACCACTATAGAGAATGATTTGGAAGTTCCTCAAAAAATTAAAAATAGAACTATCTTATGACCCAGCAATTTATCCAAAGAAATCCAAAACAGTAATTCAAAAAGATATATACACCCCTATGTTCATTGCAGCACTATTTACAATAGCCAAGATATGAAAAAAATTCAAGTGCCTATCAATAGACAATTGGATAAAGTAGTACATATATATATACATACATATATATATACATACATATATATATATATATATATATATATATATATATATATATAATGGAATATTACTCGGCCATAAAAAAGAATGAAATCTTACCACTTGTGACAACATGGATGGACCTAGAGGGTATTGTGCTAAGTGAAATAAGTCAGACTGAGCAAGATGAATACCACATGATTTCTCTTATATGTGGAATTTAAAAAGCAAAACAAACAATGAAATGGAAAAAACTTTATAGAAACAGAGAACAAATTGATAGTTGCCAGAGGGGAGGCGGGTTGGGAGCTAGGTGAAAAGATGAAGGGATTAAGAAATACAAATTGGTAGTTACAAAACAGTCACAGGGGCCGGCCGAGTGGAGTGATGGCTTGGGACGCCAGAGGGCCCCGGTTCGGATCCCACATATGAGGGCCAGTGACACTGCCCTCCACAGCTAAGATGCTGAACAACAGCTCAACCTGGAGCTGGGCTGCCCTAAGTTGCCAGTGACAGCGTAGGCTGCAGCCCCTGTGGCAGGGGGTTGCCATGGGCTACCTGTATGTAGCCAGCAGCCAGCATGAGCGGCCAGCAGCTGCAGTGAGCGGCCGTCCAGAAGCTGGTGACTGATCTGCCTCGCCCGGGAAGAGCGCAATGATGGTGCCAACTTGGGCCAATGAAGCAACGTCCTCCACAACTAGACTGAAGAACAAAACAACAGCAACTTGTCTGTTCCCATCCCCCAATTCCCCAATAAAAAAAAATCTTTAAAAAAAAAGTCACAGGATGTGAAGTACATCATACAGAATATACTCAATAATGTTGCAACAATCACAGAGGGTGCCAAAAATATATATACACATTTTAAGGAAGGAAAACTGTATTAAAATTATAATACTCAATATACATCTATAACAAAAGATGAATAGAAGTCATGTTTGACTTCTGCAATTACAAGAGGTGCTCAAAGTGGTTACCATCAGCATCCAGACACTTCTGATTACAGAGAACTACTGCTTGAGCAACGTTGACCAAAGTGTCCACTTGTATACATTTGTTGGCACCCCAGTATGTATAGTGCCAGGTGGGTACTAGACTCATCGGTGGGATCACTGAATAAATTATATAAATGTCTAACCACTATGCTGTATACCTGAAACTAATAAAAATAATACTGAAAGTCAACTGTACTGAAAAAAAATAAATTAAAAAACTAAAGTGTACAATTCAATGGTTTTAATCTATTCAGAGTTGTACAACCATCACCACAATCAATTTAAGACCATTTTTGTCACCATCTGGGGAGCTTTTAAAAATCCAAAGTCCAGGCTATGCCCCAGATCAATTAAATCACCGTCTCCAGGGCTGGAGCACTGGCATCAGTAGTTTGTGATGCTCCCCAGGTGATTCCAATCTGCAGACAAGTTTAGGAAGCAATACTTCGCGGGGCCATGATCAGAATTACATGGAAAAGAAAAATGTAAATCAAGAAATGGGAGTGTCTGAACACAGGCTGACCTATGAGAAGCACTGATGGGTGGCGGGGGTCATCAGACTGAGGAAGAACACAATGGGAAGGACTCCTTAAAGAGTTGCACTGGAACTGGTATAATCTGTACTGACACTGAGTTTTTATGTGTAATGCACTTGACAGGAACACATTTTATGCACAGCATATCCTGAGAGAGTATCTATCTTGGGAATGAGAATGTCGGGGGTGGGTCAGAATCCATGATGGGCTGGGAGCCTACAACTTATCTGTCCCACATCAAGTAATGACCAAGCTTCTTGCCCTTCTAAGAAGTTCCTGCTCAGCCTTCAGGATGCCATTAAAGTGCCATCCCTTTGTGAAACCTGTTCCCACTGCATTTGCTCCTATTTGTGCCTCAGCACTTTGCACACCACATAACACAGCCCTCATCACCCTGTGACATGTTCATTTAGAAGCTGGTTTTCCTAACCAGAGGGTGAGCTTCTTCACAGGCAGCAATAATACCAAATACATTAAAAAAAAAATTGCCCCCCAGAGCATAGTACATGTTTTGACACCAAGGATACAAATGTGTGTTGGACTGAACCACAGTGAATTCATACCAAATACTCATTCCAAAGTTCTCAGAACACTTAGTGGCTCACAGATGACTCACAAACAAGACCTGCAGTTTTCCTCCGGAAGGCACATCCTGGGCGGCATTGCTTTGGGTACTTAGTAACTCCACGGAATAAATGGCACAACCATAAGCTGTTGTTAAGAACACTGAATAATGTATTACCAACCCTGAGATTAAGAAACAAATTGTCACTGAGAGGAAAAAGATTAATTAATATCAGTTAATCTTCTTTTACAGTAATGGATTATGCAGAAGTCTTTTGACTTCTGAGGAGAATTTGAGAAAATTTTACAGTACACAGAAATATGCATATACTCTGGGAGCAAAGAAGTGGGTCCCCAGATCTGTTACCTAGGGTTATGTTCAAGACAAAGAACAAAAAAAAGACAGCAGCATTTGTACAAGTGTAGATTCATGGGGGTGGGAATAACAGGCAGGCAGGCTTTAGGGAACAGAGAAATCTTATGGATTCAAAAGAGCTAAAATTATAATTGCAATAGAGTTTACATGGTTACACAATAAGCAACACTATTAGGTAACCCCTCTGGAAAGAAAGTGCTCTTTGAAAACCAAAATGAAGAAAAGATCAGAAAAAGCAAGTGAACAAAAGCTATTAGGTAAAGTCCATCAGAGAAAGAATTCCTTTTCATTAGCATCTTCCTTCCAGTCCAAATAATGTTTTTAATGTGCAGCACAGGACTAGAATACAAGAGTTTTACCATGTATTATAGTAAACTTGGGCAAATTTCTTTGGCCTTTGCTTTGCTTTTCTAAAATAAAGGCTCTCGTCAAGATAGTGTTTCCCCAAGTTTGTTCTGGTAGATTTAACAGGCATGCCTTGAAGAAAATGCTTCACGTTCAAATAGATTTTGGGAAGATTTGACTAATCCAACTACACACGTTTCTTCCTTTCGGGGCTTGGCAGAGGGTTAACTCTATTAATGTTGGTTCCGAGTGGGGACTATAATTTCCCCAACCACAGAATTCTTTGGGACAGATCTTATCAATTGACTGTGTTTTACTGAACTCATCAGAAAATTCTGGATTCTAAAGATCTTGCAGGTCCCTTTCTGGGTTTAGAGTCTATGAAGTCCAAATGATGGTCACTTGAAACCAATCCCACAAAATAACCCATCAATAGCCAAGTGACGATGGCAACAATTAGTATTTGGGCAGAAATTAGATGCACAATCTCTCACTGCAAGTCAGTGCAAAGAAGCAATAACTGGCTTTCATCTTCTGCACATACATATAGAATTATTTGCTTTTATTTTAATTACTCCCAGCTGAGCATCAGTGGGTTAGATTCACTCTGTACTTTTAAATTAATATGTATTCTATTTATTGGATATGTCCATCACATCATAGCCTCTAGGCATGTTTACAAATAACAGGGGAGAAAACCAGATTGTTGATAGCATAATGGCTTAAAAGTCCACAGACAACTTTTTCAAAAAGATCACCCACTGCACGCGCGGGTGCACACACACACACACACACACACACACACACACACACACACACACACCCTCCTCCCATCTCTCCCTGTCCTCCTAGTATCCAACTGTAAAGTCTTTCAGGCTTCTCTGTATTACCTACACCCTGTGGCTTCTCTTTCTACCTACCTGCTCAATTCCTACCAGAGAATATGCAAAACAAAAAGACACATTGGTCCACTGACAGAAAGGATAGAAGCCTTTAAATGGAAGACAGGGTCAGATTTACATCATCTCCCTTGACCTGAGTCAAAAGTCTCTTCAACAACTTGGTGGGAAAGAGCCTAAGGCTGGCTGGGAACATGTAAAAAGGAAAAGAGGCAGTGGGAGCAGACATCTGGGACCAGTTGGTCAGCAATGAAGGGAGTTACTTAAACCAACAACAATTTGCTTGACAGGTAGCATTTTATTTCATCCTCTCTGGATCCCTACAATGTAGCTCCTATTATTCTCTTTTTTGGTGGATAAAACTGAGGCCCAAAGAAGTAAAATTAATTACCCAAGTCCCATTGCTACTAGATGGCAGGCCCAGGCCATGCGCTCAGGTCTGTTTGAGGACAAAGTTCAAGTTCTTCCCCCAAAACTGCCTGGATTTGTGCCAGAAAAATGTGGACTTAGGAAGTCTAAGCCACTTGCCTGGAGCTCATAAGTGGTAGGTCCTGGGTGAACGCAAATCAGGAGGTTGCCAGGGCACACTGCCCGGAACTACGACCATTTCCCTCAGACACCGTCCTTCCCCTGCAGAAGAGCCCATCTCCTTTTGGATTTAAATTTCTGCAGAAAAGCAGGTATTTGCTCAGGCATGTCCCAGCCAACCCCAGTCCCATCTCCTGCTCTTTTTCTCTCTACCTCAGGTCCCCAAACTAAATATTTGCAATGGGGATAGGAGGCGGAGCCCAGAGTGCTGCAAAAACCTGCCTGAAAGGCCTGTGACCCTTCCCACAGCCTCCTGCATGGACTTTTGTTTCCCAGGAATCTGTACCTGCTTCTCCCAAGCCTGGGATTGACCTGCAGGATTCAGAGCAGCTCCAGGAAGCAGGAGAAGATACAACACACCAGCTCTCTCCAAGGCTTTCCCAAACAGGAAGAAAAGAGAAGGGCAGCTGCTGCTCTCCCCTGATTAACTGCTGGGGGGAAGGGGGAAGGAGGAGGCCAGGCAGGGATGAGTCATTTAGCCACAGATAGAGAGCTAAAGGGCCCGGCTTGGTCTGCCTGAGCAGACTCAGGGAGCTCCGTCTAGGGGAGGCGTGGCAGCACTGCCACTCCCCACCAGTCTCAGGGGGGCCCCACTTTTGGGAAGAAGTGAATTGGGGGTATCTGGTTTTAGATCCCCTTCCCTTCCAAAGAGGGGGCTATAGGGCTTGTCTGGTCATTTTGCAGATGAGAATACTGAGCCCGAAGGTATTCTCATGTATACCTGCATTGGGCCCGTCACACCACAT